GGGGAAGGAGAAAAAGATAGGGTAGAGTAGGATCATTCTGGGCCTGGTAGGTGCAAAATATAAAGAGGGAAGCAACATTAAGTTCACTTGGAGTTACAGAATTAAATCTGCCCTAGACTTTAAGTTGTGTGTATGCATTGTGGTGTAAGTGTGCATGTGTATCTGTACACACATGTTGTGCCCTCATGTGTGTGCATTCATGTGCATATGTGAGCAGAGGTCACCTCTGGTTGTCATTCTTTGGATTCTATCCATCTTCTGTTTCAAAACAGGGTCTCTTCCCGGCCTGGCACTCAAGTGAGCCCCCAAGTGGGCGGGTCTCCTCCTCCCCAGTGCGGGATCCATCACAAAAGATCTACAGCACAGAAGACTAAATGACAACAGTTGGGCACACTGTGTGCTGAGCAGTGAGCAGCTTGGAGAAGGCACTGTCTGAGGACACTTGGGACAGGTGCCACCCTGCTGCTCCAAGAGCTTCAGGTTCCAAATGCCTGCTCAATGGGAACTTGAGCGGTGCCTCTGTCTCTAGCACCTGACCATCCCAGGATATTAGATACAGCATGCCTTGGGATGGAAAGCACCACTGTTAGGCTTCTCTGCAGAGTAAAGAGCCTCCCTGGGGTAAAGAAAGCTGGCCCCAGATCCCCTTGCTCTCTTCCAGGGGCCACCTCCTTCTTGGGGTCTCAATCACCCAGTCATCTCAGTCCAGTCAGACTTCATGATGATTGGCACCTTCCTTCCCTCCCAATGCTTTAGTGAGGCAGAGAGATTGGCAAACAAGGCTGACGAATGGTACAGCTGATATCTGAAAGCCTCAGCAGATTTCAACCGAGGCTCATGGACACTGTCACTCATTAAACACCAGAGCCCTGGTGTCAGGCCCCACGGGAAGGTTCTGTCTTAATTCCCAACCCAGAACCTGGGGGAGCCCTGAGGACTCCAGACACACACACACACACACACACACACACACACACACACACACCATCCCTGCAAAGAAATATCTCTTCCCAGTTTAACGATGGAAAGTGTATGTTTGCTTCTGTAGGGGTTGCTTCTTCCTGGGATAGGAGCGGAGCTACCAAGGCCCCATCCAGCAGCCTTGCCTTGTGTCCCTGCAGGATTTTTGGCTGGGACAGTTCACATCTCTTCAGCCCCTCCACGATGAGCCTCAAATGTAGCATTTCCTAACAGGCTGTGTCCATAAGGACTAAGTCCTTTCCCAAGCAGGCCACACTCACTGCCTGGCTCAGCCACACCAGGAAGGTTTGGCCAGCTTTGGATGCTAGAACTCAAATCCATCATGGCTCTGGGAATCAAACCCAAGAGGAAAGCCACACTAAGGGATAATCCCCAGCCCCCTTTCCTCTGGGGCTAAGCTTGAGCCACTGGAACGACTCAAAGAGCCTTCCTTAGCATGCCTGTTGTTTTCACAGGTGAAAAGAATTATCAGATTGACAACTTAAAGGCTAAAACATCCACAAGCCTGCCATGTCAAGCCCTGAGGGTGAGGGAGTATAAACGGAAAACCCTTGTGCTAGGTCTCAAGCCTCCCACAGACTCAGGTTTCCCATCATCCCAGTAAACAACCATTTGTAACTCATTTTACAGGAAGGGCTGGGGTGTCGCTCAGTGGCAGAGCGCCTGCCCAAGGCCCTGGGTAACATCTCCAGCACCACACACCCAAAATAAAATAAAGAAGCTATTGCTGCATCTAGCTGCCCTCTGCACATGTATCATTCCACCTATAGATTAGTTAGGTCTCATCAAAGAAGCGTCAGTTTGCAGCGGTGACAGATACAGAGCACATCCGGTCAGAGTGCAGAGACGGAACGACTGAGGTTCTCAGTCAGAAATGGATGTCTTTATCACACCCCCTCTCCCCAAGGCCCAGGGAGCATCAAGGAAGGAGGCTGGAAAGAGTGTAAGAGGAAGGTCAGGGGGCTGCTGGGAAAAAGTGTATTTTGGTTTTTTGTTGTTATTGGTTTTTGTTCTGTTTTGATTTTGTGTGTGTGTGTGTGGTTTTTTTCAAGACAGGTTTTCTCTGTATAGCCCTGGCTGTCCTGGAACTCACTCTGTAAATCAGGCTGGCCTCGAACTCAGAAATCTGCCTGCCTCTGCCTCCCAAGTGCTGGGATTAAAGGCGTGCGCCACCACTGCCCAGTTTTTTGTTTTTTGGTTTTTGTGTTTTGTTTTTTGTTTTTTGTTTTTTGTTTTTTTTTTTTTGGAAAAGTGTATTCTGAAAACAAGGGAAACGATACGTCCATGAACTCACAGCACCTGTCACTGTCTGCACAGTGCACAGGAGTGAGCCAGTCGGCATGCCAGCGTGGGTCGGGAGGGGCTCACAAGGCCACACTTCTTCCTAAGGAGCTATTGGCCAAGAACAGCTACTGAGGAGTGGAGGCAGAGAATCAGTTTTCTTCAAGGATCTAACCCCTGGCTGGTTGTCCATGATCCAGTGGATAGACCTACACCCTTGTTGAGCATATGGGAAGCACCTGACTCGGTGGGTTTTATATATGTGTGTGTGTGTGTGTGTGTGTGTGTGTGTGTGTGCCACAATGTCCAACCCCTTTTCTTCTATATCTGTATCTATAACTACATCTATATCTAGATATAGATAGATAGATAGATAGATAGATAGATAGATATTAAAGAAAAGGGGTTGGATATTTGTGGCACATGCATTTAATCTCAGCACAGAAGAGACAGAGGCAGGTGGATCTCTAAGTTTGAAGCCAGTCTGGTCTACTTCCAGAATCATCAGCTATGTAAAGAACCTGTCTCAAAATAAATATAATATAATTAAATTTAGGAAGAAAAAAAATTTTAAAGAAAAGGAAATGAAGTTGAGAGGGAAGGGAACTGGGGAGGAGGGGAAGATGGGGAGGAGGAGCCCAGGAGGAGTAGGATCATGGAGTGAGGGGTGGATGACCAAATAGGTTGTAGAGAAGAGTTCTCCCAGAATGAAAAACTGTGAAGTCGCAAGAAGGAAAGAAGAGAGGGAAAAGCCCCTGGGCCGTGAGAGTCAGGAAGCAGCTACAGAAGGCAGCAGGCTATGGATCCACTGTGTCCTTGGCATTAACACCACAACCCTAGAACTGTCTGGTGGCTCCGCTCCTTCCAGTTTGGACACAGTCCTAGTTCACCAGGCAGGACGGAGCCTGGACAGCAGAATTCTCAGATATATGCTTCTTCTAACACAGAGCCAAGACGTGGGGGTAAAATGTCTGTCAGAATCTAAAGCAGAGAAGGAGCTTGCTGGACTCTAATGCTCTTCTAAGCCCAGGGTACTCGACGGGTCCAACAACAGCTGTGATTCAAAGCCTGCTAGCATCCCCTGGCTCATCCTTCTAACCAGCAGGCCCCAAAGGAAAAGTTTTCTCAGATCCTGTGATGTGAGCTAAAGAGACACGTGTGTCTATGCACGTGCCTGACACACGGAGCATGGCATACTAGAGAGTGTGCTTGCCTCTGTGTTTACAGAACACTGTGGCTTCCTTGGCAGCCCAACGCTGGCTCTTTACCTAGGCCACAGTCCAGCAAGACAGCTACCATGGGCCAGCCTTGGAGTGTGGCTTCTGAAGCTCATTCAGCTGGCTGCTGGCCAAGTGGATCCTGAGGGACGGAGACAGCAACAGCTCAGAGTTCAGGGTGTGCTACTGAAAGAATGCCACCTTCGTTTTCTTTCTTTGTCCTCTGGGTTACAGAAGTCATAGTCCATGGGGTACCATGAAACATCCTCATGGTACCCCCGAGAAGACCATGTCTTTCCTCTGTACAGCTACCCCATCAAAG